AAAACTGCTCTCAGCAAATAAGGACAAAAGTAAATATTTATGGTAAAAACAAAAACTGCTCTCAGCAAATAAAACTGCTGTCAGCAAATAAGGACAAAACTAAATACTCATTTATGGTAAAAACAAAAACTGCTCTCAGCAAATAAAACTGCTGTCAGCAAATAAGGACAAAAGTAAATACTCATTTATGGTAAAAACAAAAACTGCTCTCAGCAAACTGCTTCAGCTTGATAAGCACATGCACGAAAACTCTGCATCATTGTACGTAATCATGAAACACTGAGTGCTTGTCTTCTAAGTAGGAAACAAGGCAAGGATTTCTGCTCTGCCCACTCTTATTCAACAGAGCACTGGAAGTTCTGGTAATAAGCCATGCAAGAAGGCAAAAAATAAAATTCATACAGATCAGAAAGGAAGAAATAAAACTCTGTTTTTAGTTGACATGACTGTTCACATAGAAAAGCCAAAGGAATCTACAAACAATTCCTAGAACTAATGAGTGAGCGCAGCAAGTTTGCAGACTGAAACGTCAACATATGAAAATCAACTGCATCCTACATACTAACAACAAACAGACGGAAACTGAAATAAAAGATGGAATACCATTTACAGTTGCTTCAAAGAAAATATAATATTTAGGTCTAAATCCAGCAACACATACACAGAATCTGCATACTAAAAAGTACAAAACACTGATTAAAACAATGAAGAAGACCGCAGTGATTGGAGGGGCTTACGATGTTCATGGATTGAAAGACTCAACAGAGTCATGAAGTCAGTTCTTCCCAAATTGATTTTTAGGTTTAATGGAATTTCTAGCAAAATCTCAGCAAGGTTTTCTTGTAGACATAGACAGGCTTACTATAAAAGTTGTATAAAAATGTAAAGGCCGTACAATAGTCACAAGAATTTTGAAACAGAGTAATAAAGTGGGAGGAGTCATTCTTCCAGTGTTAAGATTTACTACATAATCATATCAATCAAGACTGTGTAGTGTGGACGGAGGGTGTGATATTGATAGATACAGAGATCAATTAAATAGAACAGAGGATCCAGAAATAAGCCAGCACAAATATTCTCAACTGACACAGTAGCGCACCACATAAGGACATTTGGTGAATGATGAAGCGAACAGCATATGAGATGGTGGTCCCATAAGATTATGATACTATATTTTTACTTACCTTTTCTATATTTAGATACCTGATTTGTGGCCAAGCACAGTGGCTTATGCCTGCTGGGAGAGGCAGGACAGGGTTTCTCCCAGCATAATGTATTATGTATACATAATACATAATACAGTATATGCATTATTCCAGTATATGTATTATCCAGTATAAATGTATTATTATGTACTATGCAGTATAAATGTATTGTGAATTATGAATATTGGACAGCCATGAGAATGCATGAATTACTGTTACATGCAAAAACATCAAGGATTCGGGCAGGCAGCACAGTGAATGAAAGAAGCTGAACATGACAGGGTGCATACTTTATGCATAAACCCTTCAAAAACACCAATGCTAGCATCTGGTTTTGGAAGTCAGGATAGTGCTTCTCGTGGAGGAGGGATAATGACTGGGAGAGGGCATGAAGGCAGCTTCTAGTTCTTGATCTGGGAGCTGGTTCCATGAGCACGGTCCTTTTGTGAAAACATATGTAGACGAAGGCTTATTACTTGTGCACAGTTCTGTAGGTTTGTTAAATTTCACTTAAAAATTAACTCAAAGAGCACAAAGTGCCATATACAATGTTGTTTCATCACTACAGATTTTTACCCTAGGACATTTAGTTGTCTTAGTATGAAGTTTGACCCAAGCCCAAGGCCTTTTTCAATTCGTCCTTAAATTCCTTGTTCCTCAGGCAGTAGATCAGCGGGTTAATTATTGGCGTGACAACAGTGTACAAGGCAGAGATGAGCTTGTTGGAGCTCCGGGAATCAATGGCTTGGGGCCGGACATACGTGAAAATCATAGCCATGTAGAAGATGGTGACCACAGTGAGGTGAGAGGCGCAGGTGGAGAAGGCTCTCCAGCAGCCGGTGGCCGAGGGGATGCGCAGGACAGCCAGGGTGATGTGCCCATATGACAGCACGGTGGCCAGGAGCGGAAACACCAGGATGATGAAGGCCAGGATGAAATCCACCAGCTCCGCAGTGGAGAAGTCCGTGCAGGCCAGCTTGAGGATAGGGGAAATGTCACAAAAGAAGTGGTTCAAGATGTTGGAGCCACAGAACGTGACGCTGGAGATAAAATAGACCTTGATCATGCAGATGGTGAAGCCGCTCACGAAGGAGAAGCCCACCAGCTGGAGGCACAGCCCCGGGGTCATGAGGACGTGGTAGCGCAGCGGGTGGCAGATGGCCACGTAGCGGTCGTAGGCCATGGAGGCCAGAAGCACACACTCGGTGCACACCAGGGAGCTGAAGAAGTAGAGCTGCGTCATGCACCCGACGAAAGAGATGCGTTTCCGCTGGAGGAGGAAGCCCTCCAGCATCTTGGGGGTGATGTCAGACACATACCAGATCTCCAGGAAAGACATGGAACTCAGAAAGTAGTACATGGGCCTGTGGAGGGAGGCGCTGCTCCAGACAGTCAGGATGATGGCCAGGTTCTCCACCAGGACGAAGAGGTAAGTGAGCAGGAAGAGGAGGAAGAGCAGGTACTGCAGCCCCGGGGCCGTGGGGAAGCCCACCAGGATGAAGGTGCTGACCTTGGTGACATTCTCCCCGCTCATGCCTCTGTGCTTGGGAGCTGTGGGCCTGCAAAACATCAAAGAGCAAGAGGAAAGGGCTGCAGGGCAGCTGGGGCACAGAGAGAATGGTGCTGGACTTGGATGGGGAGTTTGGGTACAAAGAGAGGCCACACGGTTCCTGAGAACACCAGGAGAGAGCAGTGATCTGCTGATCTTCTGAGTTTTAAAGTAGAAAACTTCTGTGTGCTTGCATTTAGATATAACCATGAAGTAGGAATGAGGAAGAGAATATGCTGAGGAACAGAGCCGGGCAGCTCCTGGGTGGGTGAAACCCAAACCTCTGAGTCTAGGGGCACTACCAGTCCACACATGCTCGGGGCAGCTCTCAGAATCCAAGTGGGCATGGACACAGAGCTGGCCCTCCTTAGGGTCCTTCACCTGAGGGTTCCTGCAAGTCACAGCAGCAACCTTGGCCCGAGGTGAGGGGCTATCAGCCTACCAGGGCAGGACCCCAAACCGGGCTAACCAGCCAGAGGAATGCAGGGAGGGCTCCCAGGAGAGGGCTGCCTGGCTCTCGGGGACCTGGTCCACAGGCGAGGGAGAGAGAGGGTAGCCGCAGCCCCTTGCCCCACAGGGCACCTGGTGGTTGCTTCACTGGCAGTCTAGGTGGTTGAATGGCAGACTTCCACCAGCTCACAGCTGGGGAGGGTGACCCCAGGTTTCTGGCCCAGAATGCTGAAAATTGATGAGAAGACTAGGAGAGGGCCAGGTGGGTACCGAATAATCAGGAGGCTGTGCTGGGGAAGTGTGGTGCGCGGCACTTCCTGGAGAGCCTCACGGTGACATGTAGGGGGTTGGTTATACGAGTCTGGAGTTCATGGATGAGTTCCAGGCTGAAAAATGAAATTCTAGAAAGGAATTGCCCAGGGACAGGTTTATACTCAGAAACGCGCCTGTACTCCTGCTGTCTAGGGTGAGCATTCTGTGGGAACCCAAGATCACCCACTGGGGCGTCATGGCCATTCCCTGCTTTAAAATGCCAGCGTGCAGTTCAGAGTTTAGGATCAATTTCACAAGCATTTGCTACTCACTCCAGTCACTGCCTACTGTCTCCCCAAAACAAAAGCAATAAGAA